TAAATGTTTCCGCACCAAGTATGGAAGACAAATCTGGGGGAGTCACAGTTGTTTATTTAGGGGTGCAAGGTGTCACAGATCAACCTTATCCCTTGTCACCATTCCATATATGGCTTCAGCGATAAGAAGCCTCATAGTCCTTCCCCCAGGGACAGCATGTGGATCATAAAGATTACACAGAAAGGGGCTCTGTAAGGTCACGGCCCATACCCACCTGTCCATCAGCACAGGGATGGTGCAGGCCCCCAGGTGTGAGGACGCAGGCCCCCAGGCACTTCCTGAGGACCCACCGTCCCTGCTGGGCTGACTCCCAAGTCTAACAGAGGGCAGCAGGGCTGTGTGGACCTGCAGGTCCCCTGACACACATGCCATAGTGAGATGTCAGCGTGTGCGACAGCGCACGCAGTGGGCAGCACAGGTGGGGCAGGGGACCTCCACTGTGCCATGATTTAGAACTAAGGCTGGCTCATGCCCTGCCCAGGTGGGCTCCCTCAGCTGTGAGTGCAGGCCTGAGGGGGCAGCCAGTGCTGAGAGAGGGTCACTGCCTGCAGCACGTGACCAGCACGCACGCAGAGAGCTTCCTTTCCCTCAGGATCCGTGTTCACAAGAACAGTTCCAGAGCAAGAGGCAAGAATGTCTGGTTTGGAAAGGTGGATTCCAGAGGGAGGGTAGCTTCCTGAGAGGGGGCAGCTTGCAGATTTCTCTGCCTGAATCAGCAGAGAAAACGACACCTCGGGACACCATCCCGCTTCCCCACCAACATTTCTGCAAGGGTCCTACTCTTTACTGTCCCTGAGGGCAGCTCACTCCTGCTGCACTTCGTGGCCAGTGTTGTGGAGGAGGTGAGGGAGCTGTTCCCATGCTGCCGAGGGACACGAACTGGATGGGGGCCATGAGGATAGCTGGGGCCGCGTGGTAGAGGAGCAACTGCCCCAGCACACAACCCCAGCTGTTCTCATGGCCCGTGCCTCGCGCAGCCCACACGCTCCAGGACATGCACAGACCATTGGCAGCAGGCTGCTGAGGAGCCCTTGCTGGACACTGCCCGCCTGCACCTGAGGACAGATGCACAGGTCGCCCCAGCATGGATGCGAGGACACGGTGGCTAGCTGCTGCACAGAGCGGCACAGGGCACGTCACCAACACTACATGAAGGTCAGACATGGAAGGTACCCACCATATCAAGTTAAAAAACAGGTGAAACAAACTCTTTTTCAGGGATGTGTGGTAAAAATCAAGGATATGGTTAGCCTGAGAAGAGAAACCCCATTTATTCTTCCACCTTTGAGGAAAATAATACTATAGGGAAACCATCAATCACTAAATTAACTGAATAAATATCAAGGACACTTGTCATCCCAATCTATGCACATACATAAAGTTCTACTTTTTTTTTTTTTAAAGAGAAATGACTTTTTAAAAATTTTTATTTATGTGTGTGTGTGTGTGTGTGTGTGTGGCCAGCTCAGCCCACCAGGGGGCGGGGCTGGCTGGCATGTGGTGCTGGGGGATTGAACCACGGTCCCTGTGCTTTGCCAAGCTTGTTCTAAGTAGGTGCTTTAGACCACTGAGTCATCTCACCAGTCCATAAAGTTCTACTTCTAAAAGGAAAGGATCCTTAGCAGACATGGTAGTGCACACCTGTAATCCCAGCTCTCTGGGAGTCCAGGATGGAAGGTCACAAGTTGGAGGACAGCCTGGGCAATTTAGCAATTTAGTGATACATGACACCCAGTTTCAGAATGCAAAAAAAAAAAAAAAAAAAAAAAAAAAATTAAAATGAGTTGGGAATGTAACTCAGTGCAAAAGCCCTGGATTCAATCTCCAATACCACAAACCACAAGAAAACATAGAAATATAAAGTATATGTAAGTAAAAATAGGAATAGCAACATTAACCTCTGAAATGACTCAGAACAGAGGCTTTAAACAGAAAAAGAAAGTTGCTTTCTATTAAGACTGCATTACAATGAATATGTAAAGTCATAAAGTTTTGTCCACCAATAAAACATCACTGGCATCAAGCAAAATCAGTCAGCAATAAATGGTGAAACTGAAAACCTTCACCTGCAGTCAAAGAATCCCCTCCAATTCACCTCTGAGTGGTGGAATAGCTTTAAAAGTCACCTACGAGGGCCAGCCAGATAGCTCAGTGGATTAAAGTGCCTGCAAGCAGGCACAGGGGCCAGGGGTTCAATCCCTGGGCCTGCCATGCCAGCCCCACCCTCAGAGCGCACTGAGATGGTGATTGAGACTGGGTGTGGTGGCACGGGCCTGTAATCCCAGCACTTGGGAGGCTATAAACAGGCGGATCACTATGAGTCCAATCTAGTAGTGAGACCTTGAACACACTGTAGACCCTTCCCTAAAATACAAAATAAATAAATACATAAAAATAAAAGTCACATATGCATTAGACTACAAAGAAAAACACATCCCTAACGCTGGTGGGTCTAGACCACATCTTCTAGCACAATGCAAGGAAGGATTTAATAACAAAAGAGCAAATGAAATAAACGGAATCATTTGAAAACCTAAAATAGGACCAGGGGTTTATTTAGCTCAGTAGTAGAGCCCTTCTTGGCATACGTGAGGCTCTGGGTTGGAAGCCTAATGCTGTAAAGAAATAAAAGAAAGAAAAATTAAAATTCACAAGTAAATTCAGTGGGGGCTGGGGTGCAGCTCAGCAGTGGAGCAGGGGCTTAGCATGCCCAACACCATGTTCACTACCAGGCATAGTAAATAAATGTTTAAACTCTGTTAAATTATTTTTTAAAAAAGCATGTCATAAACTTTTAGCAAATTCTAATAATTATAGCAATATATTTGTTTAAAAAACTTACTAGGTGTGTCTAAGACAAATTTTGTACTTTAAAAGCATTTATTATTGAATAGCAAAGAAGAAAACAAGTGGATTAAATAGATAAAGAAACTACAAAAGGCACAAAATAAACTCAAGGAAAATCTGCAGAAAACAAGAACAAATTAGAAAATGATATTTTAATTAGGTAGAAGACTCAGAAAGAAGGCTGAGCCCAAGTCCCGTTGGCTAGGACGGGGCATATCCACATCGATCCCGAGCAACCCTCTAGCGCTCCAGCAGGCTCAAGCCCTGCCCTGCAGCGACTCAGCTGAGTGCGTGAAGCTGAGTGCGTGAAGATGAGCTGCTGCTCGTGGGCAGCCCCTGAGAAGGCAGCCGAGTGGGCACACACGAGGCCTAGGGGCGCTGAAAGGGCTGGGGCGACACCACCAACAAGCCTGATTCAACCAGTTCTACGCAAACTTTGCTCCAAAACATACTTTTTTATTCCAAATGTTCAGGAAGCATTCATTAAGGCTGACCAGATACTAAGCCACAAAAAGCCTCAATAATGTCCATAATGCAGAAATAATTAAATCTGTATAGTGATACATAGAAAAAGAGGCACACTTTTCCCCCAATCTACCCATCAGGAAATTACATACTTTCTATATAACACATGACCCTGAGACCAGTATCTAGTGAATCCTGTGACAAACGGCTGAAGTAGGACTTGAGAGAATTTAAGAAATTAAGTGAAAATATTTGATACTAAAGAAGTTAAAAATAATTACACATACTATTCAAGAAATTAAAAGAAAAGAACAAAATAAACCTCCCAAAAATAGAAAAATGGAGTACTAAAGCTGAGCTTTCATGAGATAGAAAGAAAGGAGCAGATTTGATCTGCAAAGCACAACAGCTTGTAGCATTTAGGAGCTGCCCTTCCATTTCCAGCTGCTTTCTCTCCACCTCCAGTCATGGCGATTCCGTCCTAAATTGGTCCCCTTGAAAACCAGCTGCTAACAGCAAGCATCCAGCCATGTCCTTGTTTGCATGCAGAGAGCATGACCATGCTCATCCTCATGGGGTGGCCCAGGCCGGTGCCTGGTGAGGGCCTGGGGCTGTGGTGGCGGAATGTGCCGAATCCATCAGGCCAGTGACCCCACCCTCATGTCCCCCAGGATCTGGGAGTTCAGCAGCGCCCCCACGAAAGCCATAGGTAGCATGGCAGAAGGTGACTCTGACCAGAAACGGGGGTTAATTAGGGGAGGAGAACCATGTGTCCTGTTGTCTTCTGTTTGTTTGGTGGGACTGACAACTAAACTCAGCGCCTTTGCTCTGAGCTACAGACCCTGGCCTTTAATTCTTTGACACAGGGTCTGAATGAATCTCTAAACTGGCCAGTCGGAACTCAAACTTTGATCCCCCTGCCTCAACCTCCCAGAGTTCTGGGATTATCCGCATGTATAATTAAATTAAAAATGTAGAAAACAGCCAGGCATGAAGATGCACAGGCAATGTGCAATCATGGCTACGTAAAGGATGAAGAAGATCACCCACTCAGAGACGGTCAGCTAGCTCCACGGGGCGAGGCTGGACTTGCCAGCATTCATGCAGGACTGTGAAACACTCTCCACACACTCGGGAGCGTGTTCGTGTCACGCGGCTGCAAGGTCGAAAGTCAGAAGCCACCCAAACACTGGTGCTGACGAAACCACACGGCACACAGAATAATGCTGAATTAGAAAGGCTTTCGAATAATATGCGTTTTTAAAAGTGGGTTATTAATAGTACAAGTAAAAGGTGTCAGTTATTTCTAAAATTAGATATATTTTAAGGATATTATGATTAATTCCAGGTACGGTATAGGGTAGCAGGATTGGTGGCAGAGGCAGACGGGGATATCTGTCTCTTTCTGTCTGTCTGTTTCTCTCTCTCTCTCTCTCTCTCTCTCTCTCTCTCTCTCTCTCTCTCTCTGGTAATTTTTTAGCAAATCACAAGAATGTATTGAGATGTTACATGTAATCTTTTATTTTTTAAAAATAAAACTGTAGAAGAAAATTTATTGAAATGAAGAGTGGCTCCTCCATGTCCTGGGACTCCAGTGCCTCCTACTTTTTTTTTACAATGAGCTTTCAATTCTTTTATAATGAATTTAAAGAAAAGACAGAGGCAGAACAACCAAGCCAACTGCACTGGCGGCGTGCCGGGCTGTCCCACTGTCCGCCTGCAGAGCATTTTTGACTGCCTCTCTAAGGACCCTCACTTTATAGATGAAGCAACTTGGACCCCTTTCTTCTGCCTCAGCACTAGAGAAAAAGCGAAGAACACCACACCCCCACCCTGTGGATCCTGCTGGCAGAACTAATTCCATGACCCCCCCATCCCTGTGGACCATTCTAGAGAACAGAAAAACAACAACAACAACAGAAAAAAAAAAAAGAAAAGAAAAAAAAACCCCAGCTCCTATCTACACAAATTTAATCTCTACTATTCTGGCCCCAGAGTCCAGAAAGCCCCAACTCACTGATTCTCCCTTTCTTCTGCTCATCCCTGGCCTCAACATCTACCACACCTGTCCATGCCGGGATGCCAAAGTACAAGCAGGTCTCCTGGGGCACTCCAGCCCTAGCCTGACTTACTGAAGCTGAACACGTACATGGCCTTGGCCAAACCTCCCCAGGTGCCATTCAGCAGAGGCAGAGTGTGAAGGGGAGGGTGTGGAGAAGCAGCCAGGATGGGATCAGGAGCCAGGAGAAGGCACAGCTGGGAGCTGAGAGCACGTCACTCTTCAGCTGCTTCTTGATCCATGGGGCGTACTTGGTCATGCGGGAGAACACGCCTGGGTTTTCTGCTTTGGCGCAAGCCTTCTCCCAGGACAACACCCCTGCCAGAATCCATTTGCCCTCGACTTCACAAACCAATGGTCCCCCGGAGTCCCCCTAGACAAAGAAAGAGGAGTGAGGGGCTCTGCTGGGCCCTTGGAAGCCCACATCCCCACCGTGGAGTGCTGCTTACGAGACTCATGCCTCAAGGGTCACCCTCAGTTGGGCCTTCTTGGGCTCCTCACTGGGGACTCTGCCCAGAGTAACAGCCCAAGTTACTGTTACTTCCTTCCTTCACCAAGGAAGAAGATGAGAGCACTAAGTGTCGGCAACACAGAGGAAGACCCCAAAAGCCTACTCCAGAACAGCCCCACGCTGGAGTCGCTCCCAGCAGAAGAGCTTCCAGAACCCTTCAACTCACATTGCACAAGTTCTTTCCGTAGTTGGTAGCGCAGATCATGCTTTCCTGGATGAGGTGGCTAACTCGGGGTAAGAAGGACTGCGTGCGGTAAATCCGGTCGCACCGGTAGTTGTCCATGATAAACACTTCGGCTTCCTGCAGCTCTGGGCTCAGCACAGAGTTGGCTGTGGAAGAGCTCAGCAGGGTAAGCAACAACACTCCAACTCTGCCTAGGCTTCTGTCACTTCAAAATGTAGCCATGTAAAACTGTGTGACATGCCTGGGCCCTCTTTCACCTGGTCCCTCCTGCCCCTGCAGGGTTGACCTGATCTGCTAAACCCCTCTCCCTCTAAGGCTTTGATCTGGGATCTTCTCCAGAAAGCTTTCACTGCTAAACCAAACAGACCAGCATCAAGTTCCAATGCAGCCACTCATAAGAGAGAACTTCCATGTGCTGCTTCTCTCCAGGGTGAACCTGGTTTACAGTGGCCACGCCCTCTGCCCCCAATTAACACTCCTGCCCCCTCACAGCTTAAGCCATCCCTCTACTCAGAGCTCCACCCAAAGCCCCAGAGCCCTCCCAGCTCGATCCCAAGGTCTGACAACTTCTCTGAGCTTTCCTTGTTAGCCTGTGGCCCACCCTCCAAGCACTGCCACTTCCTTCCCGAAAGGGTGGGCCTTTCCAAAGCCAAGGGCTCAGTGCATAGCAGATGCTCAGAGACTGTCTAGTGTGTGAACGAGGGAGGGAGGGAATCTATCTCTGAGTTGCTCTATGAGGCAGATGATTGTGCCAAGCTTCGTGCCTGCGTGACAACAACGGTCACCACATGAAGAATGGTCTTAAGACAGCCAAAAAGCCCAGGGGACGGGGCGACAGCCCTCCTGAGTGGCACCATGAAGAGGCCAGCAGGAAAACCCTTGCAGGAAAGAAGTAAGTGGCTTCTGTTCTGCCCCACTCACCGGAGAAGCGCAGCCTGGCCTGGCCCCAGCCAGTCACCCAGCACTGCGTCCCCACCTTCAGGCTGAAAGTGCGTTCCGGGAGGCAGACGGGCTGCACATACTTGCTGAACATGATGGGAGTAGGAAGACGGAGAAGGGCGATGTCACCCACTATGAAGGTCCGGCCCCAGTATTTGGGGTGCATAATGATGTCCTTCACAGGGATCGAGAAGTTCCTGCTGGAGTTCAAAGACTTCAGCTGGGAGGTGCCAAGCACCACCGAGTACTCCTTGTTACTGCAAAAAACACAGAGCCCCACTGGTTGGCACAAAGCAGCCCACACAGGCTACACTGCTGCCCCCAAGGACCTGGTCCCCTGAATCAGTCGTGCTCACTCTGCTCCGCCCACCCGGCTTCGAGTCCCTGAGGTCTGCAAGCTGCCCGTCTCCTCGGGCAGACGCAAAGAGGCACTGCCTGTGCTGTTGCAGATGTGCGGGTCTCGGTGCATGTGGACGCCCTGGGGAGGTGGGCAGCCCTCTCGTTTTCCCGTCACCCAGCTCAGCCCCTCCCCACTGTGAGATCAAGCACAAGTCCTCCACCTCCCACGCTTCCCCATCCTTCCTTCTAGGTTCAGAGAGCTCCCCAGCAGAGCTCTGTCCCCGGGCCTTGGATGCACCACCACACTCACCTTTGGATGCAGTGGGCAGCAGTCACCACCCAGACAGAGGCAATGAGGGCCCCTCCGCACACGTGCTGGCTCTCTGTCTGGAGGCTAACCTCCCAGGGCCAGTGGCGGCGGGTCACGTTCAGCTCCGTTGACCACCAGGGCTCACTGCAGACTTCATGAATGAGCTGGGCAGCTGCAAGAATGCACGAATGAATGCAGACACGAAACTCTAATGAAATATTTGCCAATATCATACTCGGAAAAACAGCACATCACATTCATGTGCGGACCTTCCTGGGAGTGCAAGAGTGGCCCCCACTGAGAGAGCCCCCGGAATTCTCCCTACGGCGCTAGTGACTGAGAGGTACAGAGACCGTGGACTCTGCTCAACAGGCACGGAACATGCACCTGAAAACTTCAACACATATTTATGACTTTACTTACCAAACTGAAAGAGGAAAGAAATCCTTAACTTTTAAAAAAAAAAAGTTAATGGGGGCCAGGGAGATGGCTCAGTAGGATATGCGCTTGCCTGGCAAAAAAAAATAATCCAATACCCAGTTCCACCAAAAAATAAATAAATAAAAAATAAAAAAGTTACAGGGTGTATGCCTGTAGAAATATTATATATCACTGAAGAAGAAAAATAATCTGTCAAAAGGCTACATAAAAACACTGCATTCAACCCCAGTGTGGGACACAGCTGTGTCCACTGTGCGACAATTCCTGCGAGGTTTGAATAGCATATTTCAATGAAACTATTTTTCAAATCACTCATATTTCTCCATCCCATCACAACCAACTAGAAAATATACTCAAAGCCTGGCATGGTGCCGCACACCTGTAATCCCAGCTCTCAGGAGGCTGAAGCAGGAGGAACGCTGCAAGTTCAATACCACCCTGGGCTACAAAGGGAGCTCAAGGCCAGCCTGAGCTACATAGTGAGATCCCATCTCAAAAAAATAAAAAATGAAAGTAAAGAAAATATACTCAGGCTACACTTTGAGAAGTAGGGGCCGGGGAGATGGCTCAGTAGAATAAGCGCTTTCCTGGCAAGTGCAAGGGCCTAAGTTCAATCAAACTGACATAGAAAACAAAGTGCACCAACTCAGTCTTTGAAAAAAACATAGCAAAGAGGAGCCCCTTGTGTGGGGAGACACTCAGACACACACGAAGGCCACAACCAGCAAAACAGCACAACACCGACACAAGGTCAAAGAGCAGGCCAGTTCATGCAATGCAGGACCGTGATGTAAATAGGAGTCCCCCAAAATCACTGAGTACAAATCTGATGAATAACGCTGGGAAACTGGCTCATGAACTAAGGGAAGCAAAACTAGATTCCTTGCTAAAAGTAACTGAAGACCTAAATTTGTTAGTAGACCAATGTGACACATGTGGGAAAGAACTCCTTAAACAAAGCCCCTTAAGGACTTTTAAACACAAACTATAAAGCATAAAGCTAAACAACTGACACTAAATCAGGGTGAATGGCGCTGGGGAGATCGCCCGAAGATCTAAGCACCTGACTGGCAAGCATAAGGACTTGGGTTTGATCCCTGGTACCACATGCCCTGCAGGCTCCGGAACTGGGCGTGGTGGCGCACACCTGTAATCCCAGCACTGGGGAGGCTAACACAGGAGGATCAGTATGAGTCTGAGCTGTGTAGTGAGACCCTGTACCAAGTAAATAAAGACTAAAAAAAAAGTTGTAGCAAGGTGGATCCCTTGAAGGACTCAGGATAATGGAAGCCCAAGAACCAAGGACAGGAGCAGCTCAAACCTCTGACTCGCAACCAGAAGGGAAAAGAGTAAAGCCAAGAGGCTCTACAGATGGTGCTCCAGGACTCAGGGCTCCATCTGCAACACAACACTTAGAACACAGAAAGGTGGAAGGCAGTATGCAGCGGGCTCCCTGACACATCGCCCAGGAGCCCCAGGCTGGGCTGAATCCAGGGTTGTGGGTCCTCACTGGAGGCTGAATCCTCCTGCCTCTGCACCCCTGGCCGCTACAGGTTGTTCTTCAGAAGCCTGGCCTGCTGGAACAGACGCACCATGAAATACTATCGTCCTCTTAGAAGCCTACAGCAGGATCCATGAACCTACCTGGTGGGGTTTTGTTCTCTTTGTAACCTGGAAGACAAAACAGAGACAGTGAAAAAGCAAGAGCTCATGACAGGATAGCAGCCAAGAGTGCAGTTTCCATCACTAGCTCATTCAATCATTCATCAAATATTTCCTAATCTCCCATTCTGACCCCTGCCTGGAGGTAAAGGCTAAGGAGACACATGGCCCAGGGAGGGGTGACAGACAAATACGTAATCACCTGGGTGAGATCAGTGTGGGGACAGGGCCACCAGTGAGAGGTAAGCCCAGGAGAAGGGAGGTGGACAGGAGAGACCTCTGAGAGGAAGAGTTACAGAGCCAGAGCTTAAAAATCAGAAGGCAAAACATAAATGAAAAATGAAAGCTGGGCAAGGTGGTGCACACCTGTAATCCCAGCACTCTGGGAGGCTGACACAGGAAGACTACAAGTTCAAACTCAGCCTGGGCAATATAGTGAGACTCTTTCAAAATAAAGAATTAAACAGGGGGAAAGAAAGAA